CATTTGTTGACTATCTATAAATCTTGTGCAAAAATTGTAATTTTCTTTTCTTGGAGTTCCAGTGACTTAGATAACCTGTACCAAAGAATAATGAAGCTGTTCTGCCAGCTTATGGTCTTCCAACATTTCATGAAGACGTGTTCTTTTATTTTGTTAAATTTAATCAATTTAAAAGGTTAACTATGTTTTTATTATGGTAATACACTTCCTTCTTCCGTGTGTGCAATTCTTGATAGTACTTCTGTTGCTGAAGGAACTGGAAGAGTGGGAAATTCTTTTTCGGAAATTGATACCTAATCCATTTTTGCTTCACGAGACTCAACATACTCTGTTACTAAACAAATACAGAAAGATATTATGTTCATTTGTGTTTGCATTTTGTGTTTTCATTGTCTTTGTTTGTATCCTCAGTTCCTGGTTCTGGGATGGCAGGATGGCAGAGTGGCATAAGCAACTGCTTAAAAGAGACAGACTTTCTCCTGTTCAATACCTCAGACTGTCACTGAGAAGGAAGAAGAGAAGATAATTCTGCAACAGGTTTGTGACTAACACTTATTATTTTCAGTCCTTTCTTTAATGTCATAGTTTCTCCTAATACAAGTCTGATTAATATATGTTTCTTTTTATTGAATGTCATCATCTTTGACATCTGCAGCAACTCCAACTCACCATGAAGATGCTAGCTGTGTCTGTACTTGTTGTTGCCATGATGGCTCTGACTAGGGGTGCTCGTGAGTATTTAGGCAGTGTTTATGTATGAGTACTGTGAATATTGTGTTTAAGAAAGAAAATACAGAGATAGAGAGTTTGCACACACACGAGCAACAAAAGTCACTTCTTGTTGGTTCGAACTGTCCAGCTCTTCCAGACTCAGAGGCCTCTGCTGCGACAGAAGGAACAATTCAAGAAAGTAAGTCTATTGTTCTTCAGATGTTATTATGATAAAATGTCTGCACACTGAGGAAAGAATAGGAAATTACTATATGGTGTCACTGGTATGTGAGACTGATCTTCAGAAGAAGGAGGAAAATCTTTTCCCGATAAGGCCTAAATGGATGCATTTTTCTTTAGTTTTTACTTAAAGTACATCACATTTGTTATGAACATTGTACTTTGTTATGTGCTTTTTAATAATGAAAAACTGTCACTCACTGTTGTGTTAAACTGTTCATCTCTTCCAGACTCAGAGGCTGCTCCTGCAACAGAAGCAACAATTGAAGAAAGTAAGTGCATTTTTCTTCAGATTTGTATTATTATAAAATATACACACTGAGGAAAGAACGGGAAAACACTTGATGGTGTCACTTGCTGGTGTGTGAAACTAATCTTCAGAAGGAGGAAAAATCTTTGTCCAGATTAGGCCTAAATGGATGCATTTTTAATTTTATTTTGCCATGATGGCTTTGACGAGGGGTGCTTGTGAGTTTTTAGGCAGTGTTTATGTATGAGTACAGTCAATATTGTGTTTAAGAAAGAAAATACAGAGATAGAGTTTTTGCACACACAAAAAGGAACAAATGTCACTTCTTGTTGTGTCAAACTGTCCAGCTCTTTCAGACTCAGAGACCGCTCCTACGACAGAACCAATAAAAGAACAAAGTAAGTGCAATTTTCTTTAGATTTGTATGATGATAAAATTGAACTGGTGTGTGAAACTGATCTTTAGAAGAAGGAGGAAAGCCTCTGTCTGAATTAGGACTAAATGGGTGAATTTTTCTTCAGATTTTTATTAACGTGCATCACATTTGTGATAAACATTGTACTTTGTTATGTGCTTTTACATAACATACAGAACCGGTCACTCACTGTTTTGTCCAATTGTCCAGCTTATTGGAAAGAAGAGGACGAACCTGGGAGCGGATCAGGAGGTGAGTGCAACGACACATTAGTATTATGAGAAAGAAAGACCTGCTGTTAACCTGCTGCTACGAACTAACACAGAGCACAAGCAGCCTGTGAACCAGCTTGTTTGTCTTGCTCGCAACGATCTTTAACTTATTCAACCATAGTGACACTGCAGTCGTTACAAACTCATGCAGCCTTCCAAGAATATGGTGATATACAGTTGCTCAAGTCCGCCATCTATCTCCCTTCAGGTTTTTACTAAAGATCATTACCCTTTGTTAAGTTGTCTACTTGTTTGACACATGAATATCATCTACAGAAAGAGAAAAACCCTGTTAATTTGTCTAGATACTAAATAATCTGACAGCCAAAGTCAATAACTGCTACTGTATGTCAAACGGTTCAACTCTTCCAGATTCAGGGAGTGGATATGGGACAGATGCACCTACAAATGGTCAGTAGATGTGTTTTTTTCAGAATATCACTAGATTAGATTAGATTCAACTTCATTGTCATTGCACAAAGTACAAGTACTAAGACAACGCAATGCAGTTACCATTAACATTACCCTCACTTTTTTATTTGCCTTCAGGAAACCATCATGGTCCCAGTAATCCACGTACATGTCATGACTTCTGTATTCGCATTTTACTTACATTCGAAACTTGGGAAGAGGTGGAGGTAATCCTGATGATTTGAGTGCAGAACGTTTGTTTAGTCATTATGTTTATTTTGCTTGTATTGACTCACACTCTTTGTATCTATAATTTACATTGTCTCCTGACTCCTGACAGTCACTCTGTCTGTCTGTCTATCTATCCCCACTGTAGAAATGCTGTGAGGCCTTTCAGCCATATCCAGCCTCTGTGCAGGGTAGGGCTGTGGTACCGAGTGGCTCCAATGAGATAAGAACAACTCATGGATACGAACAAAAGTAAGACAAAATGTGTTTGTTTGTTGTTTGTTCTTGCATGAGGCCCATTAATGTCTCATTACTGTGTCAGGCTTTGGTTTGTGTCATGCTAAGTCCTCTATCTTTGGTTCTCACAGGTAAAACATACTGGGATTCATTAGACAGTTACGGATATGTTTGTACCATGACATCCTGCTGATTCCTGGACAAACACAGAGGCATGCGTCTTTATTTGTTTGTGTCTACTGTGTGTATATGCAATCATCTGTCTTTGTGTCATCTGTCTCATACGTAACCTGAAGGCTCTATATCTCACATCAAATCTTAATTTCTTTGCTATCGCTGTAATGCTACTTAAGGAAAGAAGAGACAAGTTACATAAACAGGAGCTGCTTCTTAAGCTTTGTGCTGTTGATAGCAGATTGAATGGTTATGAAAAGAATGGCTTTTGCACAAATTTATTCTGCAGTCTTTTTTCCATCATGCATAATTAATAATTAAAAAGGCTCAAGCATTGAAACACACTTGTTTGTGAGTTTTTGTACCAGATATATCCTGTATCGCAAAGAGCTCCATAGCAACATTTCTGTAAATAATAGTGAACGCTACAATTCTTGGGAATACCTTGTGGTAATCTTGAAAGAATTTAAGTACACAATTTGCAATATGTTTTCAAACTCTGACTTTGTTGTTACACAGATTTCAGTTCAATATTTTCAGAATAGAAAGAAAAGGAAATATGAATGATACTATAGATCACCCAATCTTGTAATGAACCAGTCCTGGACCAGAGCAGTGCAGTCGAAACTACAGTAACATTATCCCAGATGGTCTCCTTCTTTATTCTTCTTTCTCCTCAAAACCAATACAACAAACCTCTTTTGGGGGGTTTTGTATTAAATCCTAAAACATAAGAATGTAAAATGGTGTACATGCTGTGTGCTTTGCTATTTTTCCTTGAAACTGATTCTCGATCCTTTTATTTGCACCTTTTACAGTATAGAAAGTTCCCAAACTCTAGCTAGATAAATAGATTATAAAAGCATAGAAATGGAACAAACAGTTATCAATAAGTTAGAGTGAGAAGTGAATGAATTTTGAATGTGTGTTTCCACTAATGATTCTGACCTCTGCATTACAGATTTCCAACAAACCTTTACAGACACATTTTGTGTGTCTTCACGTAACTGGTAAACAATAAAACAAATAAACAGCACCCTCTGCTGTGCCAAGCCTGTGCAGTGAATCACTTCAATCGACATATTGGATTCAAAACATAATTGGAAGCATAAAAGCAGAAATACAAAACAAGAGAACAGAGACAAATAGGGGGACAGGGTGAGGTTGTAACACTTTTTGTATCAAACTTTTCAGCTCTTCCAAAAGCAGAGGGTGATCCTGAGTCAGAATCAAAATTCTAAGAAAGTTGTAAGTGGATGTTTCTTCACATTTGTAAGATGATGAAAAATGCATGTCTGCACACTCAGAGAACAGATACAACAAACATTTTCAACCAAGGAAAAAAGAGATTCAAAAAAGTGGATGATTTTAATTGTGTATATGAAAAAGTAGAAACCCATATAGGATCAATTAAATTATATATGTTATTAGGTGTGCTGCTTTACTGTGTAATGACTGAAAAGCAGATTCTATATTTGCGTTCTGTTAATAGTCCTGGAATTTGAAAACAAGATGACCTAATGCAGTAGCCATAAAAATTGAAGAAACAGTTATAAATAAAGTGTCCAATATTAATAGTGTCCGTATAATGTAAATAAAATCTGGGCATTTTGTGTAAAACTGATAAATACAGCTGCTTGGTAGAGATCATATCAGTGGTCTCTGCACCGTGTATGACATAGAGTCCAAGACAACTCAGATTGGTAATTTAATGAATATGCTATATGATGCACAGCTTCAGTGTACACAGCGGTTCATTTAGGGGTGTTTTATCTGAAAACTATCAAATACATAATTTCAAAGTAACTTTATTTATTGGTTAATTTGCTAAAATACTCCCTGAAACACATTCATCTTTCCTGTAAGACCAGTGAAGAGTTGAGAAATATTTCTGTTTACATTTCTAAAGGATTTCAAAGGTTAATTGATTGCCAGTAAATGTCCTCACTGCACGTCCACTTAAACAGTAAACAGATAATTTGCAACAAGATAACAAAGTTAACCGTCAAATGTGATGTTAAAAATTAACAGAGTCTCTATAAACAACATAAAAGCAGCCAGGGGATCATATCAGTCAGAGTTTAGGTGACTGAACAACGCTGAATCAACTTGGAAGATGAATTTTACCATTGTATTGTCTATGCTGCTATACTGCAGCCTGATTTTGGCCCAGGATGATGTTAATTTTCCTGAACCAGAAAGAACTATTGAAACACAGTCATGCTTTCCAGACATGTGTGAATTCCTGAAAGAGTTTGGTGCCATAAAAGAAAAACAGAGAGTTATGGAAACCAGGCTGAAGGAAAGTGAAAACCAGATTCTTGAACTGAAGAGCAAAGGTCAAGTGAAACTTTTTAAGACTTCAGTGGAGAATTATTTTGCGTATCAGAATAAATACAATATAACAGTTTGGAAGTACATATACAAAATAATGTGATCACAATGTTTTGCTTTACACAGAAAAGACCGTGGTAGTGTTCAGTGCAGCAGCAGGTGGGAGTGGACACATTGGACCCTTTAATACAGATACAACTGTAGTCTACAAAGTAGTTAAAACAAACATTGGCAATGCCTACAGTCAATTCACTGGTAAGTGGAAACTTTTTCTATAATTTCTTAATTTACAAATAAATATGTAACTCAGCAATTACTTTCTTGACTCTGATTGGTTGGTGTTGGTTGTAAATGGCATTAGGAGTGCTGGAACAAGCCAGAGGAAGCAGATTGTTTTCACAGATTTTCTGTCTCATGTACTGCTGTCAGGATGAAGTGAAAATTACAGGAAATGTGACAAAAAAAGAAGCAAAGACAGAAAATTATTTTTAATAACTTCCACTGGGTCCTTCTCCGTTCCACTATAATCTAAATACAGAATAAATTTTACCCATGCTATCAGAATGGCTTTAAGTCTGATAGTGTTGGTCAGTATATGTCAATACACCATCGAGATAACCAGGAGATGAATTGCTATGAGGATAGGACATTTAACACAGACGCTACGGGACGCAGAGGATGGATCTGGTTGTCATCATCCTCTGATTTTTCCTCTGGAGTAAATAAGGTACAGAGATTCCCCGAGGATGAACTGTAATAATGTTGATCCCTTAACTTTTCACCTAGGGTCATCATCATTTGGTCTTTAGTTTATGACTAAATACTAGTAAAAATAATGACATTTCTTTATTTGATTGAAATTGTGAATTTTGTCTGAGAAAAGGGGCCTGAGCCTTGATTATATGATAAGAAAGATGTGATTATTGCATTATGTAAATAGAGAGAGCACTTTCAGTGTTTTCCACCAAGGTCTGAAAATACTCCCCAAAAGGATTCAAGGACTTCCATAAAGCTGTGACAGATGTTGGAATAAAATGCTGTTTCCACAGGTATCTTCACTGCACCTGTTCCAGGCATTTACTACTTCACCTTCTTTTATAATGCTGGAGCATCACAGGAAGTTTTACTAATCCTCATGAAGAACAACCAGGATGTTGTGTCGACCGGTGATCGGAAAACAACACAAGATGATGCTGATAACGGTGGCAATGCAGCGTTCTTACAGCTGCAGCAAGGGGACCAGGTGTAGTTAGGAAATAAAATCTTTTTTTTCCTTTGTGTTTCTGGTCAGTCAGGTTTGAACAGTGAATTAAAGATATGATTTATTTGTCATCACAGTTTTAAAATGCCTTTAACCGAAGAGAATTCAAAATGCTATGTTCACTTTTAATTGATTCCTGTTTATTACAGCTGCTTTAAATGATTGCATTGCAATTTTCTAACAAACCTTAAAGGACACAATAAACAGCACCCTCTTCACTTCAGTTAATACATTGCATTTAAAACATAAAAGCAAATATCCAAAACACCCAATAAAAAGAACAGAGACACAGGATGTGGTTGTAACACTTTTTGCTTCAGTACCTCTAACTCACTGAATTCAGCTAGCTGCTCTCTGCTTATCGACTGTGTGCACACATTGAACCTCTGACCTTTGCTATCATTTGGCGCCAAACAAAATCATAAAAAAAAAACTTGAATTGGGATTCTATTTTAATTGTAAATGAAGGTGTAGTTTAAATTGATATGAAACAACTAGAAACACTTATTTAAAGATAATACTCTTGCATGCCAGATTATATTATATTTCTGAAATCATGTCATGTGCCAGAGAGAGGGGGATGGAGGGCTGGAAATGGACCCCGGGCTGGCTGTTTGAGTCCCCTGATCTACAGGGTTAGTACCAAGTCTTTGAGGTACTTTATTTTTACTGGTCTTGTTAATAAAATAATCATAGATTAATAACATATTCTTTCCTTTCTGTTGTAACCTAGGTATAGGAATTGTTGAGTTAAGTGTGGATCCTGGGGAGAGAGGCAGGGAATGCGAGGGTGGTGGCTAGAGACAAGGTAAACAGAACTGCAGGCAGAGGAGAGCAGGGTTAGAGGAATATAAAAATAACAAGTAAGCAATGTTTCACAAAAGAAACTGACTGATCAGGCACCGTGATCTTGTGAGGTGGATGAGGAAGAGTATTTAAAGGAGTCTTGATGCCCCACATCTGGTATACAACAGAGCCCCAAGGATACTAAAAGACTGTCCCCAGCCCAGCAACAGTCTGTTCATCCTGCTGCCATCTGGGAAGAGGACTTAGCTTGGTCACTCAGGCTGTGAGACTGCTAAATTCATCCTCAACACTTTATTTTATTTTATGACTTATTAATACATTTTTATCTGTTTTACAATTAGCATGTATAGAACTCTATCTGAATTTCATTATATAACCTGATGTTGAAAATCAAATAACCAAGAAAGTTCAAAGTACAACAAACACATCAGATATCTATTGCCAAACAATGAAAACCACACCTACATTCATGGGATCTCAAGGGACATCAGTATTACTGTACCAACACAAGAATGACAAACACAGAGAGGACGCAGGAGTATTTCTCATCTACATTCCACTTTATTCTGATTATATGTTCACATTTACAGTAAATATTACTGTGAAATCACATAAAATAGTACAACTTAGGTTTAGAGCACTGAACTGTGTTCCACAGTTATGCAGCTTGCTCATTATACAACTCTGCATTGAAAGTGAAAAAAAAAAATAACCTTGAATCCTTAACTGATATTGTTTGCTTATAGCAAACACAGATCAGATATCTATTACTAAACACAGAAAACTCCTCCTAAATTCATGGGAACTCAGGGGACATCAGTCTTACTGAACCAACACAAGAATGACAAACACAGATAAAATGCAACAGTATTTCTCATCTACATTGCAGTTTAGTTTGATTATATGTTTAAATTTACAGTAAATATTGCTGTGAAAAAACACTTAATTTGTACAGTTATAGCATGTATGACAGGCATTAGACAATTCATCCTCTGTCTTATTTTTTAGACTTGTGGAAGAAATTAAGCAAAGAAACTGTCCAATCAAAGTGACTCAAACCAAACCAAGGGGTTTGCCAGAGCACAGAAACTGGAATAGTCTATTGCTGGGGTGGTACAACAGAATCAGCAGTGTCCTATTGATCCCCAGGATCTGATGATAATTGCTCTGTTGCTTCCATCCAAAATCCAGTATCAGTTTTGGTAATTGTAGACCTTGTCATCATTGCTGGATGGAGCTGGAGCAGTGTCTGGCCATAGACGTGTGTAAGAGTAGTAGAGCAATGCTGTAAATACACAACCTTGCAGAGCAAGATGAGGCCTTGAGAATTCGGGCGTTGGACGTGTGACTGCATATTCTGGTAGTAAAAAAATCCAGTGCCAAGTGCAAAAGAAGGTGTTTAATCAAATCAGTTAGTTAGTGGGAATGATGAATGTGTTATTAAAAGCTGAACTGAAGTCTATAAGAATCAGTTTCATAAAGTCCCCCCTTGAGGTTTGTGCAGGACTTTTTCAATCTCACTCCTTATTGATTACTGCTGTGTGTCTGTGTGTGTGTCTGTGTGTCCACTCCCTCCACAAACATTCTGACTATTTACGCCGGCAGGACTTGCCTTACATTCATTTTGTTTTGTAAAAACCCACTTTAATTCACTTTTCAACTTCTTTTCTCTACAAATTGTAACTATTGTGACTATAAAATTGTAATTGTAGTTTTATTTCCTTGGAGTTCCAGTGACTTAGATAACCTGTACCAAGGAATAATGAAGCTGTTCTGGTGGCTTATGGTCTTCCAACATTTCATAAAGACGTGTTATTTTATTTTGTTAAATTCAATCAATTTAAATGGTTAACTATGTTCTCAGTTCACTAAACTTCAATTCTGAAATTTTGCAATTCTTGATAGCACTTCTGTTGCTGAATGAACTGGAAGAGTGGGAAATCATTCTTTGGATATTGATACCTGATCAGTTTTTGCTTCACGAGACTCAGCATACTCTGTCACTAAACAAATACAGAAAACAGCGTTATGTTTATTCATATTTGCATTTTATGAGTTCGTTGTCCATGGGTGTATCCTCAGTTCCTGGTTCTGGGATGGCAGGATTGCACAAGCAAATGTATATAAGAGACAGACTTTCTCCTGTTCAAAACCTCAGACACTGACAAAGAAGAGAATTCTGCAACAGGTTTGTGACTAACGTGTATTATTTTCTGTCCTTTATTTATTAAGTTGACTAACTGTCACTAACAGTCATAGTTTCTCCCAGTACAGGTCTGATTAATATATCTTTGTTTTTATTCAAAGTCATCATCTTTGACATCTGCAGCAACTCCAACTCACCATGAAGATGCTAGCTGTGTCTGTACTTGTTGTTGCCATGATGGCTCTGACTAGGGCTGCCCGTGAGTATTTAGGCAGTGTTTGTGTATGACTACTGTGAATATTGTGTTTAAGAAAGAAAATACAGAGATAGAGAGTTTTTGCACACACACAAGCAACAAATGTCACTTCTTGTTGTTTCAAACTGTCCAGCTCTTCCAGACTCAGAGGCCTCGGTTGCGACAGAAGGAACAATTCAAGAAAGTAAGTGCATTGTTCTTCAGATTTGTATCATAATAAAATATACACACTGGGGAAAGAACAGGAAAAAACTTGATGGTGTCACTTGCTGGTGTGTGAGACTGATCTTCAGAAGAAGGAGGAAAATCTTTGTCCAGATTAGGCCTAAATGGATGCATTCTTCTTCAGATTTGTATTAAAGCGCATCACATTTGTGATGAACATTTTACTTTGTTATGTGCTTTTCAATAAGCAAAAAACTCACTCACTGTTGTGTTAAAACGTCCATCTCTTCCAGACTCAGAGACTGCTCCTGTGACAGAAATACTGACTGAACAAAGTAAGAGCATTTTTCTTCAGATTTGTATTATGATAAAATACACACACTGAGGAAAGAACCGATTAACAAAAGTCACTTCCTCTCATGTTAAACTGCCTCTTCCAGGCTCAGAGACCGCTCCTGTAACAGAAGAAACAATTGAAGAAAGTAAGTGTCAATCTGTCAATCTTTCAGCTGAAGAAAGTAAGTGCATTTTTCTTCAGATTTTTATTAAAGTGCATCACATTTGTTATGAACATTGTACTCTGTAATGTGCAATTACATGTGCTAAAAAAAAGGTCACTCACTGTTGTGTCAAACTTTGCAGCTTATTTTACAGATGAGGATGAGGTGAGCGGATCAGGAGGTGAGTGCAAAGAAAGAGAAATGAAAGAAAGACCTGCTGTTAACCTGATTCTACAAACTAACAAAAACCACAAATAACCTGTGAACAGGCATGTCTTGAAGTTGGAAGTAGTAACTTATTAATTTATTAATTTTAATAATTCGTGTTGCAAAAATAAATTTGCTGCACATAGTTTACAATGTTTGCTGAAACCTGCAATATGTAAAACACATGGCTAAGCCTGAGACTGTCTCAGATCAAGAACAAGCTGGTGTGTGTGCAGAGAGAGACAGAGAGGGGTGTAGGTGTTTGCATGTGGGGAAAAGAGAAGGAAAAGGTGAGCAGAAAGTTTGTGAGTGAACCCTTAAATAAGGTAGAGAAATAGTAGAATTAAAATTTTTAACTTTAATTTAAAAATAACTTATAAGTAGGTATAGTGTCTTTTTATCTACAAGCACTGTGTGAATGTTGTTAATTTAAAAAAATGACACTGATGTGTCAATGTATCCATATCTTTCAGATGACATATCTGGGACAGAATCAACAGATGAAGAAAGTGAGTTGAATTTTCTTTTGATTTTTACTAAACAGCATTACACTTTGTTATGCCTGCTTGTATGACACATGGATATCATCTACAGAAAGAGAAAAACCCTATTCATTTGTCTAGATACTAAATAACCTGACAGCCAAAGTCAATAACTGATACTGTATGACTATTCCAGATGCAAAGAGTGGAAATGGAACAGCTGCACCTACAAATGGTCAGTAGATGTCTGTTGTTTTTTTCTTCCTGAGTATCACTACAGTTACCATTACCCTCACTTTTTTATTTGCCTTCAGGAAATCATCACGGTCCCAGTGATCCATTAACGTGCGAGGAATTCTGTCGTCACAACTTTCATACATTCAGCAGTTGGGAGATGGAGGTAATCCTGATGATCTGAGTGCAGAACGTTTCTTCAGTCACTATGTTTATTTTGCTTGTATTGACTAACACACATTGCATCCATAATTTGCATTGTCTCCTGACTCTATACTGTCTGTCTATCCCCACTGTAGATTTGCTGTGAGGCCTTGCGTCCATACCCAGCCTCTGTGCAGGGTATGTCCATCGAAGAGATTGGGGCTTTGGTATACAGTGGACAAGTGTGGATTGGAGACTTTGAAGCACAACAGGTAAATTGGACAAGGTCTGAGAGGTATTTAATTAAAATGACTCCACCTACTATATAAGGGCAGGCCTTGTGCAAATACAAGAATTGGAGAGATGCCACCACCAATAGATAGATAATTCCATCACTATAATTACTCATAAACATACAATCTAATTATCTAAACAAAACCTGTAATAGATATATTATATATTATATCTAATTATAATTTATGTGTGTTTTTTAATATTCCTCAGACTTAAAACTTAGGTTTCTTTGCACAAACAATGTGTGGACTGTGAAAACTAGATGTGTTGTTCTTATCCTGGTAGGAGGGCTCCTGACCACTCATAAAATGTTTTCTGACCAAAGAGAAAAGCAAAAATAAGAAAACATTGGTGAATCCCAGAAATCAACTGGTACTAACAAAATAAGAACAAATCATGGATTCAAACAAAAAAAAGAAGAGAACATTAATGTCTCATTACTGTGTCAGGTTTTGATTTTTGTTATGCTAAATCCTCTATCTTTGGTTCTCACAGGAAAAACATGCTGGGATTTATTAGATAGTTACGAACACGTCTGTACCATGACATCCTGCTGATTCCTGGACAAACACAGAGGCATGAAGGATGTGTCAAAAGCAAAGATGGTGGAGGATGTGTGTTTGTGTCTACTGTGTGTATATGCACTCATCTCGTCTCATACATAACCTGAAGGCTCTATATCTCACATCAAATCTGAATATCTTTGCTATTGCTGTAACGCTGCTTAAGGAAAGAAGAGACAAGTGACATGCTTCTTAGGCCTTGTGCTGTTGATAGCAGATTGAATGATTATGAAAAAAACTTAATCATTAAAAGGCTCAAGCATTGAAACCATCTTGTTTGTGAGTTTGTGTACCACCTATATCCTGTATCGCAAAGAGCTCCATAGCAACATTACTGTAAATAACAGTGAACGCCACAATTCTTGGGAGTACCGTGTGGTAATTTTTGTACAAGTAGAAGATTTGCAATATGTTTTCCAACTCTGATTGTGATGTTACAGTTTCCAGGTCAATATGTTCAGTATAGACTGACAGAAAATGAAATATTAATGATATTGTAGATCCCTCTCATGACCAGACCTGCCCTGCCATAAAGTGTATTAAACACCATTTGGTTTTGCTTCAAAGTGCCAAAAAATTAACAAATGTGCATTTACAGTTTTTTACAATTTTACAATTTTGAAAACTGGGTTCTTTTTTTCAAAATATAATCACAATTATCCAAACACCACACTCAATTTGCATAATTCCTAGATTGTTTGCAAAATGACACCTCAGTGAAAACATACACACATTTGTGAAAATGCTATTAGTTTTCATTTAACCAACACAGTCCTCAATGATCAGACACTATTGCAGCCAGTTTCACACTGCTGTGATAAATAAAAACACATTTGTAAAACAACTAATTTTAGGAAATAGCATGTGCTAGATTTTTGTCCAGACATGTTTATGTAAGGGATAATTTAGATGTCAAAAAAAAAAAAAAAATAGTGACAAACCCATAACATTCTTTATGATTAGTTTGAGATATAGGGAGAATGTACACAAATAGGCCTACTATAAACTTACCAAGCACTGCACAACACTGATGCTGCAGACTGAATATTTCAAGTATTTATTTCAATACTTACAGTATTTCTTACCATAATCAGTTACAGTAATCAACCAGCAGCACTAGTGGTGAAACTGTGACTCTTTGCTGTTGTTTTATTTTTATGCTAGCTTGATTCTTACTCTTGTATTACTTTTCCACTTTTGTATTACAATTGTTGCACAGCAATTTCCCTCGGGATAAATAAAGCTTCTTGAATCTTGAATCTTGAACCAAAGGAGGTCTTGGAGTGACGTTATTATAGAGACACAAAGTCTGCAGAGAGAGGATGTTAGGCTGGTTGGGTGGGTCAATAAAACATCAGACTTTGACATGAGAGTCAACTGTTTGCTTTCCATCCATCAGTCAATGTTGTTTTTTTTTTTTTATAGGTTTTGCCGATTACTTACAAACTGAAGTGAATGCCTAGACCAAACCATAAAGCATTAACTTATGTGCCAATCCCTTAAATACAGGCAACAAAACATATTTTCTGCTTGCACACAATTATGCAACTGTTAAGTGTTTAGTGAACCAGTCCCGGACCAGAGCTGTGCAGTGGAAACTACAGTAACAGTATCCCAGATGACAACAAACCTGGGCTGCTCTGGTCCGTCCTGGTCTCCTTCTTTGTCCTTGTCCTCATCTTCCTCCTGCACCTCTCTCTTTCCTCTCGCTCTCACTGCCTGTAGGTTTGCAAAATTCTCACAAAATATGTGAGCTTAACTCAGGTGTATTTGTGCTAAGGCCCAGATTGATTGGTGTTCAGTTAGTGTATAGACATGGTTTCAAAACTTAAGGTTTTGATGCTTTGGTCTAAGCATTCACTTTCAGTGTGTATATATTTTTTTTCTTTTTCACAGGGATCGCAAATAGTTTGTATGTCAACCCTGGTCCTATTAACATTTATTTCTCCTTACATGCCTGTCTCCATTTTGATAGAAAGAGGCAAGGAGAGAGTCTAAGGATATGAAATTAATTGTTACACAATGTTGCAGTAAATAGAGGGAGCACTTTCAGTGTGATGCACCCAGGTCCAAAAAAAAGTATCTTCACTGCACAGCCATTTACCACTTCACCTTCTTCATGCTGGAGGATCATTCCCAGTGATCCTTACCCTTATCAAGAACAATCCGGTTGGTTCAATCCTAATTGCATGACGGGGCTGATAACGGAGGCAGTTCCAAACCTCCAGCTGGATAAATACATTATAATAGAAATGGAAGAATTATCAATAAGAGAGAAGTGAATGCATTTTAAATGTGTGTTTCCAACGATAATTCTGACCCCTGCATTACAGATTTTCAACAAACTTTAAAGGTGCACTATGTGATCCTGCATGACGTCACTTCTGTTGTCGTTCAAAGTAAATACCAAACAAAACAGAGCAAGCTCGCCCCTCCCCCCATGTTTTTTTCGAATTGAGTCGTGCAGCTACTCTCAGATACTACTCTCTTTCTCTCCCCCTCTCCCAACCATCTTGTCGGTGATTGGCTGGAACTGGTTTGTTGTATTTTGGTGCACTGCCTGTGCCTCTAGTGTTTGTTTGACGTTTACGAGCCCTGTGTTGTCTCCCGAGACCGAGTTTTTCACAGTGTATTCAGGGGGCGGCAGCTAGCGGATCAAGGAGAGATGCCTACGATTTGAGACAAAAATCAAATCGCGCTGAAACCATGCAAGATCGCATAGTGCACCTTTAAGGTCACATAAAGGACACATTTTGTGTGTCTTGAGGCAACTGGTGGGGAATAAACAGCACCCTCTGCTGTGCCAAGCCAGTGCTGTGAATCACTTTAGTTTACATATTGGATTTAAAACATAAAAGGAAGCATAAAAGCAGAAATACAAAACACCCAATGAAAATTAAGAAGAACAGAGACATAGGGACACAGGGTGTGGTTGTAAGACTTTTTGCTCCAGTACCTATAACTTCAGCTACCTGCTCTCTGCTTATGAACTGTGTGCACACATTTTGTGCCATACAAAGTACCCTTTTAAAAGAAAATTGAATAGTGTTTGTATTTTATTTGTGTATGAAGGGGTAGTTTAATATGATATGAAACAACTAAAACAAAAAATAATAATCTTGCAGGCCAGTAACTGTAATGTAATTTCTTACTTTTAAAATGTAATCCTTACAGAACTTGTCTTTGAAAAGTAATAACACCAATATAACATAATTGTGTTACAACATGATCTGATGTAAAATAATGTCTTAATGCTTTACTAAGAAACATGTTCCAAAGTAAGGTGTTACCTATGAAATAGTTAGAGAGATGAACTCACCAAGAGCAATATGACTAAAAACTGATCTCTAACATTGTGCATCAGTTATCACCCATTTAACATTTAATTAATCATGGATATACTTTTAACCTGCAGGCGGAACCTGTAATTGATAGTGACACAAATAACTGCTTTGTCAAGTTCATCTATATTCATCTTGTTTACTGAGTATACATTTCCCTCTTCAGTGGCACAGCGTTCAATTTCCCATATCTGACTGATACACCTGAGTACCGACAGTTCAAGCACAGTCAACATAAGCTTTATCGTCTTCAGAAAGAGAAAGTTTGAAAAAAAATGGATGGTTGTTATATGAGTAGCATAAAGGATGGATTTTATTATACAACTCTGTATTGTAAATAAGAACAAAATAACCTTGAATACTTGACTGATATTGTTTGCTTGTATCAAACATGGATCAAATATCTATTATCAAACAATAAAAACCCCTAAATTCATGGAAACTCAGGGGATATCAGTATTACTGTACCAACACAAGAATTACAAACACAGAGAGGACACAGCAGTATTTCTAATCTACATATCCTGATGACATGTTCACATGTACAGTAAATATTGCTGTGAAATCACATAAAATAGTCCAACTTTGGTTCAGAACAATGAGCTGTTTTCCACTTTCATCTATAACACCTTGCTTCCCAATCAAAACTCACTGTGGCTCGCCAAACCAAGGGATTTCCGTGAGCACAGAAGCTGGAATAGTCTATTGCTGGGGGTGGTGGGGACCCATCATAATCAAAGGAGCTCTGGTTCTGCACTTCTGGTGTATAAATACTGTAGATTGGGGGTTGTAGAACCTATGGTATGCACAATCTTTTTTTATGACTTTTTAATCCATATTTTTATGAGTACTATAAAGGGAACTATATCTGAATTTCTTCGTACAAATCTGCATTTTAAATGAAAGTACAATAACCTTGTATTCTTTAATATTTGACTAATATTGTTTACTAGTTTCAAACATGGATCCGATATCTATTACCAAACAATAAAAACTCCTCCTAAATTGATGGGAACTCAAGAGACATTGACAACACAAGAATCCCAAACAGAGAGGGGTAGGGAGAGGACGCAGCAGTATTTCTCATCTACATGACAGTTTATTCTTATTATATGTTCACATGTACGGTAAATATTGTTGTAAAATCACATAAAATAGTCCAACTTAGGTTCAGAGCAATAAACTGTGTTCTACTGTTATGCATAACAGCTTGCTTGAAACAGTTAATTTGGTGAAAAGACATTTGTCACAGTTATAGGATAGTATTAGTATCTTGGACTTGAAACTCCTCAATATATTCATATCACTGATGTTGACAGTCAAAGTTATCCAGCATGTTATCAGAATTAGCATTGAAGCCCTCCTTGACTTGAGAATAATAAGGGTCCAGAGTCTTGAGACAGGTACTGAAACTTTGTCAGAAAATGTATTAATTGGCTTTGTTAAAATCCCAAGAGATGATGACGACAGCATCCAGAACTTGGTGCTGGCAAAACACATCATATATTTTGGATTATTTGATTTTGATAGCTTGCCACCCTTGGTTTGGAATGTACACAGTAGAGAAGAGGACTGAAGTAATAATTCGGCGGAGGAAGAATGGATGGCATGAGATTTTCATATGTTAGAATTTAGGCTAGCAGGTTTAGGAGAGTTTTGCATCAATTGTGTAGAGTCCATTGCTCTGTCCATTCAAAAAATAAGAGGGATGATTGAAGGCTTGATCCAGGACCTGGGGAGTGAACCATGTTTCAGTCAGACAGAGGATGTGAGAGCCTCTTACATCCTATTTGAATCTTGTTCTTGACCTGGCTCTTCTTGACCTGGATCATCTTGTGCTCCAAGAACTAGACATTTACAAGTAGGATACTAGGAATTGCTGGATGTTTTTCAATCTAATAAATAAAAAAATGATTATTTAAAAAAA